TGAAAACTATTAAAAGCAAAAACGTGTACATTACATAGATTTTTGATTATTTTGCTTATTTTTTCTATTTTGTTAAAATCAAAAATTAGTACTTTGGCAGAGAAAACTCAAGAAAAGCAAAAAAAAAAAAAAAACCCGAGAAAAACCAAATGAAGTTCTGATGCGAAAACTTTAACAAAAAACACAATTTTTTTCTTTTTTGTTGTTTAACATTATTTAAGACATACTTTAATGCAGGATTAAGAGACAAACATATTATGTGCACATGTGCATATCTTCAATGTTATATTTTTTTTTTGCATGTATGTATGCATTTAGTTTGTAACAATATATTGTAATAAATTCTTAATTTTTAGCGACTCTATTTTGGTGTCTTTTGTGTGTCTTTTGAGCATTTATTATTAAAATGCTTGCTTCAAGCAAAAAAAAAAACAGGACAAAAAATAAAAAAAAAATTAATTGGAAATTTATTGAAAACTAATCACAAAATTTATTTATTTATTTGTATTCTTTCAAATAGAGAAAAAGAAAAAAAACAACGGTATAATTAAATTTATGGGAGACTTTCTAAAATAAAAAAAAATATCTGAAACATAATGTCTAACATGTATATACGTATATTTAAACATGCTCTGTGAATGCATAAGAATAAAATAAGAAAATGTGAGGGAAAAAAAAATATATTTATGTAGGACATCGGATAGGACATATAAAGGACATTATCAGAAATTTTTATACAAAAATCGAAATTTGATGTTGGTATATTTTTAAAATTGAGCAAGATAAAAATTGTAATGCTCTTAATCTTTCATGACTCTAACAATATTAGATTTTTTGGACCACACACATAAATAACATAATGTGTTAATGTCAAACACAAAAATAATTTAAAATCTATAGTTTAGATTTTATTTATACAAGTCCATTAGAAGGTAATCAAAATACTAGCAAAATATGTATAAATTATTCTTTACAAATCCAATAATAATTTAAAATTGCTTACAATTAACGTTGTAATCTCATTATGAATTGACTATAGTAATCAGACATGATCATAAAAATTAAATAATAATCACTTTATTTTCTTAAACAGCAAAAACAATAATGTATAAATGCTAGACCTTAATATTAATGGTAGCTCATATTTACCTCAACATAATTAGACAGGTAGAATATGGTATTTTACTCGCATATTATTTTAAAAAGAAGTACAGGTATACTTTTTGAAAACTGAATAATTTCCGTAATGACAACATTTTATGAGTTTTATAATTAAATCTTCTTATCTCTTATTCAGACTAATGAAAGTTATTATTAATGATATTTTAAATAAATTAAATTGTAAATAATGTTAATAAAACAAATATTTTGCTCTTAGGTTCAAATTAATTGTTACTAAACATATAATTTCAAGTTTACCTTTTTTTTTACATTAATAAAGGTAAAAATATAATACTGCGTAATTGAAAAATTACTGTTTTCTATTAAAAAAAATATAAAAGTTACGTTTATTAAACTTTTAATTTTAATTCTAATAAATACGAAAATATTATAAGCGCGTAATATAAATATGTAAGCGTATAATACACAAATATACATGTATATATAAATTACTATATGTATGTATACGTGTAATTAAAAAATCATATATTTCATACTACTATATTATTTCTATATTTAATCGCTTTTAAAATTGCAAAGTTCATTAATAAATTAATGGATAAAAAAATTTTAATTTGACCGGAAAATAGTAATTTTATATTATTTTCAATAATTATTTTATTCATAGAGAACGTTATAATTATATGTGTTTATTATATTATATAAAAAATATATACATATATAAATTTATTAATAAAAATGTATTAATATTAATTAATTTTAATCAAAATGTATAAATATGAGATAAAAATGTTACAAAGAATTTTTCAAAACTAACTGATTTAATTTTATATATAATTCATAATTAACGGGGAGGAGTTAGTTAATCAAACTTCAAAAGGAAATACGAGTATGAGATTATCTAGGCAATATATTATTGTAGACTAGATATTAAATATTTCCATAGAAAATTTAGAGTCACATTTAAAGATAACTGAGAGTCACGTTTAAAGAAAAACGAGAGTTACATTTAAAGCAGGAGAAGAATATTGTTTTAAATATATCGCAGCCTTGATGATTGTTTTCAACATTTTTAAAATTGAATTAACATAACATTTAAAATAAATTCCCCGACTGAACTTATGATTCCAATATAATTATTTTCTAAAAGATCTTCATTAAAATACACGTAAATGGTACCAAATCTCACTTATTAAATATTTTCATTCCAAATATTTTTCTTCATTTTAAAATTCATTTTATTCTATATGCATTTTTTGTATAACTTCATACACACATTCTAAATCATATTTCTATTTCAATTCTTAAATCATATTAAAAATTAATTTTTAAATTAAATTTTATAATTTTTAACAATTTAATAGAAACCATTTAAAATATATTTTATTATTTATAAAACTACACGTTTTCCAATTTTCATATACATATGTATGTAGTATGTGCCTACATATTAAATCGAACAAACTATTTAATAATATTCTAAATTTATTGCTCAAGGCAATATGACACCTGAAAGCATGTGTTTAGCTTCAATATGAAAAAAAAAATATTTTAAAAATATTTACGTCTGATTAATTGAATTATTAATTAATTTTTTTTTTTTTTTTTAAATTTTTATTTTTTTTTTATTAATTATGATTGATCTTGCAATAACTGAGATAAAGTTATCTATAAATATATATATATATATATAAATATAAATGAATATCTTAATTATTATATCGTGATTATTTCAAAAACAAAAAATGGAAAACTTTCTTTCCGCGTATTGAGAAGCGTGTGAATAAATTAGTGAAATGTGATGACAATGTCATGTAAAATTATAATTTTATCTATTAACTTTTTTTATAAATTTAATTTGAAGTTTTTTGATTTGAACAGAAAGAAATATTTTAAATATTAATAAAGAAATTGTAAAGCACATGGCATATGCATATTGGCACTTACATACATAGGTACGCTCTATATAACAGAATTTAACAGAATTTCATTGTGTTATTGGGATTTTTAGTTAACGGTACAGTCCGAGAATTTTTCAATAAATATTTATTTAAATTCGTTGCAATATTTCATGTTCTATATTTTGTATTTCAAAAGCATTCGACAATTTAATAAATTCCGAATTGTTTAGAAACCGTTTTGAATAAGCAGAAACAAACAGAGAGTGACTCAAAAATTTGCTCTTTTAAAATTTTGTTAAAGAGGTTCCCAAACTTTTTTATCACGTAGATACCTTCTCGTGTTTTTAAATTTTTGATAGATTTAAATTTCCAACAGTAGCAAGGTACACGTATGATGTGAAAAGTTAAATAAAAAACTTATTTTGTTAAATTTATATTTTTTCGTAGACCACCAACAAGATTTAATGGAACCCTGGGGGTCGATATAGACCATATTGGGAATCATTGGTTTAAATGGTGCTGCCATTGATTGAAATCTTTCTGCTTGTTAATTATTTAAACACTATTTTGGCAATCTTGTAAAAATTTTAAAGAAAATTTTCAAAAACGGTCTAAAAACGGTTGTTTTTAAAATAATGCAGAAGTCTAGCGCACTATTTGGTATTTTATTGTTTCATATCCTGGCAATACTGCAGTTCTCTTTGATACACAAAAATTTAATTTTTTTTTTAATATTCTTATAGAAATGCCCAAGATTATGGAATGCTCTTACGAATTAAGAACAATATCTACAAATAATTTTTGCGTCATCCCATAATTGTTTTTAAGTTCTAAACATTACCAATTACCGAGACTCCCAGAGATATTAATAATTTAATTATTAATACTGTACCTTTAACCATTTCAAAATTTATTATTTTAAAATTTTTTCTATCTCCCATAAATGATGTTTTGAATTTTTCATTTCATTTCATTTACACTCTTTAAAATTTTTCAATGACGCCATTAAATTGAAGTATAAATTCAAAAAAAAAAAAAAAAAACGATATAATAATTATCCAATTAGTTTAATTATACAAAAAAAATTACAATTTGTTTAAAATAAGAACAAAATAAAGAAAAATAAATAAAAAAAACAAATGAAACGCTTAAAAATTCCATAAACGTATTTTATGTTTTATGTAGATTAAAAGAGCGTTTAAAGTGTTTCTTAGCTCATTTAAGTTTGATTTTATTAAAGTGTTTTTTAAAGTCTCTCAGATAATTGGTGCATAAAAATATTATAAACAGGTAAAAAAAGAAAATTTATAGTGACAGGTAGAACCTTGAAATTTCGTATTAAAATTTATATGTTTGTAAATTTTATTATTTTTTTTTTTCTGTCTTTCTCTGACTTGGTTAATAAAAATTATCACATTAAAAAATTTTAGGTATTATAAGGAAAATTAAAATTCTAAACTATAAAAAAAATTTAATTTTAAAATTTGAAAAGAATTAAGATCGTAAAAATTATTTTTGTCTTCCTATTTTGCACTTTATGAATTAGAGAAAATATAAAAATTAATTAATAAAACTAAAATATTTGGACTATAGCCCTTAAAACGAAAACATACGCTAGTCTTTAACCGTATTTATTATTATCTGCTACTTGAGATTGAAGCTCTTCAAATAAATTAAAAAACTGCACTAAATGAGCAAATGAACTTGTGTTTGTATATACGAGCTACTTCAAAACATATATGGTTAAACAAAATTAATTAAGAACTCTGCACACAATCTGTTTCTGCACAATTATCATTCTATCTACAACAAAATTGAAATAATTGAAAAGTGAAAGGGTATATGCTAAAAAAAAATTGTAAATCTTAATTATTTCGGGAAATTTTTAATATTTATTTACAAAATACCAACAATTTTAACATTATTAAAAATATTTAAAAAATTTCTAACATATATTTTTTTTTATTTTAAATACAGGGTGCTGAAAGAAAAACACGAGATGAAGAACGTCGTGCTGCTAAACGTAAAATGACTGCAACAGGAAGAAAAAAAATGGATGAATTATATCATACGGTTACTGATCGTTCAGAATTTTATGCAATGCAAGATCTTAATAAAGCACCTGTACTATTTTCACCTGCCGATGATATGGATAAGGTATATTATAATTAAATTATAAAATTATTGCTAAAATATTAAAAAAAAAAATCATTCCAATTTTTATGAAAATAGAATTTTTATGGACATGAGACTGATTCACTGTCTGGTGAAGGCTTAAAAGGAACATCACCATTTTTATTACATGGACAGAAAGCAGCGACACCAACACTAAAATTTCATAATCATTTTCCGCCAGACGTCCAGATGTGAGTAAAAATCGTATTTCCAATTTGAAATAAAAATTTCCTTTCAATTTTTTTTTTTTTTTATATTTAATCCCGTATTTTTTTTTTATTATTATAAATATAGTGATAAAAAGGATCATATATTGGAGCAAGCACTTGTACCCGGAGGTATGGGTGAATTTGGACCACCATTAAAACGTGGTCGAATGACACCACCGTTAAGTGAACGGGTTATGTTGTATGTGAGACAGGAGAATGAAGAAGTTTATACGCCATTACATGTTGTGCCACCAACCACTATTGGACTTTTAAATGCAGTAAGTGAAAAAATAAAAATGTAACATTGGTTTTTTTTTTTATGTAACATTTTTTTTTATTATTAATTTTTTTTTAATTTTGCGCTATGTTTTTTTTTTTTTTTTGATTTTAAGAAATTAACAAAACTTTTTTTCTTTTCAAATCTCATTTAATTTCCTTTTCAAATAAAAATAATAAAAATATTTATAAATATTTGGTTTATTTCCGATTTGTCAATGATATTATGAACAAAATATTTTAAATTAATCTCAATTACAAACAATTAATTGGTTATTTTAGTATTGCAGCAACATTGCGATTTGAGGTTTCCAGGTTAAAACTTTAATTGAATTACACTTTCACACTTATTACTATTCTTTAAAGCTTTCACACTTATTCTTATGCATTAATTTAAATATTTGTTCTATAGTAAATTCTATAAATAAAAGTAAGTTATGAAATGAAGACGGTTCTGCATCACAAATATAATTGAAAATCTACATGCTATTCAGTATAAAATTATTTACCTATTTATGTAGAGATTCTAACCAATGCAATGTAGAGATTCAAACCAATGCAATGATCAATAACAAACTCTTGATTTGTTTCAGTAATATTTTAAAAATTGAGTAGTAAAATTATAAATCAAATATGTAAAGTCCTAGTTCTGTAATTGACACCGTAAATTATTATTGAAAAATAATTTTTCTTTAAATAAATTAAAAATAATAAAACCAAATATTTATAAAACAATTTGTTGACAATAGAGCAAAAATTAATTATATAGAAAATTTCAATTGCCAATCAAAAATTTTATTAAATAATTTGAAACAATCAAAATTTTCATTGTTTCAAAAAATAATATTTGCTTTATTGTCACAAAAAAAAATATCAAATTAAAATTTTCCTTTCATCTCTATTAATTTTTTTTTTATCATTATTAAAACAACTACTTTTTTTTTGAAATAAAGCAAAAAGTACAATGCAAAAACAAAAATAAAAATCAAAATTTTAAAAGCCAATAACAAGTTAAAAAAAAATAGAAAAAAATTTTTTTTTTTTCAAACATAACAAATTTGAAATTTCAATTCCAAAAAATTTTATCAACTCTCATTTTTATTTATACTTAAACAAAACATTTATTTTATATTTTATTTTCCTATTTGAATTAATTAAAAATTAAAACAAGAAAACCAAAAACTTTTTAAAAAAAAAAAACCACCATTAATCAATTTCGCTTTTATTTTATTAATTTTTTTTTTCCAATTTAATTTATTAATAATAAAACAGCTAAACAAATACTATTAATAACAAAAATAATAATAACCAACAATAATTTTAAATAAATATTATGTATTTTGTATTTTAATGCATTATATGTGTGTGTGTGTGTTTTTGCCTCTAATAACAATCATTATAACAGTAAGTACATAATAGAAAACAAAAACAAACATACAGAAGAAACAACAACATCAACACAATATTACAACACAATGTCATTATTATTAAAAATGCTCATTTATTAAAAAATAAAACAAAAAAAAAATCTCATCATAAATGTTCTAAAAATCAAAATTTTTAATATAATAAAATTAATGTTAATAATTTAATTAATTATTTTAAAAAAATCAAATTTAAAATAAATTAATTTTGTAAACTAAAACCTCAGTAAATCATCATATTTCTAATAAAATTGCATGATTTAATTGATCTATTATTATAAATATATAAAATTTTTTTATTTTTCTTAAATTTGGAAATTAAATAATTTTTTTTTTTTAAATTATAAAAAAATAGTTTTAAAATTTTGATCTTCTATTTTTCATCATTTTATGTTTATAACAAACAATTAATATTCATCATAAATATTAATCCGTTTTTTTTAATCAATTTCTTATTTTTAATTTTAAATAAAATTTTAAAATTTTTTTTAATATTCAAAAAAAAATAAATATTATTATATTGAAAATTCGAATATCTTATTCGAAAATGTTGAGAAAAAGAAACTTTTTTTGTAAAAAATTCTTTCTAATTTATAAAACATAACCTTTCTGCGAGAAAAATAACATACTTGCAATAATTATTTACGAGTATTTTAAAATACTATAATTGTTTGAAATTGTCAACACAATGAAATATTGGAAAAGAAATGTGTTTTCTAAATGAATTTAAATTGTCATATCGTTTTACTGTTATTACGAGTATATTTGTTCATTGGACGATAACGGAAAATAGTTTCTCATCGAAATTAACGTAGAGACGACTACTACAAATTGTAATATTAAAATATATACAATAATTCTATTTCCATTTTCTTAAATTCCTCCTATATATATGCAACAAGATTGATTTAGGCCCTTATTATGATTAGCGAAACGAATGAAATTTTTGGCGAATATGAATTTTTAGATATTATTATTAGCGAATTCGCATTAATTTTAGGCGAATGACCTGTCAAATCTGTCGAATGAAAATTCTGTGTGACAGGCAAAATGAAGCCAAAAATAAAATTAATACACAAGTTTTTTTTTTATTGGATATTACAGCATTTATAAATGATATAATGGAAAAATCTAAACTATCTGTCAAATAAGTTCATAAAATTCTACAAATTATTGCAAAAAAAAAAAATTAATTGTTTAATATTAATTTAAGCGTGACAAAAAACAAACCAAAAACGAAAGCATTCGCCAATCATAATTTAAAATATTATACGATTCACCTAGTCTATTTCACTCGCCTAGCCATCCGCTTCGCCGATCATAATAAGGGTATTATAGAAAAGAATTTTTCTAGAACAATTTTTTTAATATTATTTTTCTCTTTTATTTTAAAAAAATATTAATAGCTAATCTTGTTAAGGGGACATGTTAAGGCTACATGTTTTACTTAATTATTAATCTTTTGTTTGATCGACTACATTTTTTTGTTTTAATTGCTTTTTGGATTCTATTACATTTTATGTTTAGATTTGTCTTTGAATTACACATATCGGATTGGCTATATGAATGTTTGTCATTTATATATAAATATATATATGGTCATTTTAAATATATAATATATATATATATATATGCGATTATCGTCGATGTGATCCGATAATCGGAAAATTTATTGAATTTCCTAAAATTTCCAAATTCATAGTAATTTTCATTTCCTATCTTCATAATATCTCAATTAGTTACCGTATTTATTGTTATTAAAATAATATTAAATTTTAAATATAACCTTTTAAATAAAACACTGTAATTAGTAATTGTGTAATCAAATCTATTTTACTTTAATGTTTTTTTGCAAAGAACTGGTTTAATTCGTAATAAACATATTAAGAATTTTGTCAAATTTAAAAATTTCTGATTGTAACATTAAAAATGCGAACAAATTATAATCTTAAGTAATGCTGAATTATTCCATTGAATACCTATTAATACTACGATCGAATGGGAGAACTAAGCTTATTAATTTATACGTCAATTGAACAAAAAAAAAACAAAAATATGTAATAAAGACGTCAGCATTTATGTCACTGTTACCAGAACACCAGTTTTGTTGTGATTTTTTGTTGTTTTTATTCCATAATCTTTTTTATTTAATTTTTAATTTATTATTTTATTTTTCGTTCTTATCTTTCTGTTTTTTAAAATTAGAATTTATTTTTTTTTTTTTTCATTTTATACCCCTCCAGTAATTTATGTTTTGTTAATTTTAACACTCGTGTCCAGCATAAATATTAATAAATATTTAACAAAAAAAAAAAATCTTAAAACATCCAAGTCCAACATATAGAAAACAAAAAAAAAAGATGTTTTTCCGCATTCTTAATTTCGTTTTCATTTTGAAACCATTCTTTTTTTGTGGATAATTAATGTCCAGATACAAAAAAAAAAAAAAATTTTTTTTTTATTAAGAACCACTTTTGCACAAACATGGTAACTGGTCTTGTTATAATTTTTATTTTGTTGACATTATGTTAAAAATTTCCCAATAAAAATGGGAAGATTGAAAAAAAAAAAAAATTTTTTTATTTTTGGTTTTTTTTTTATAAAAAATTTATGAAATTTAGAAATATTTGGTACTTTTATTTGTAATCAACCAGATTCTTTACAATATGAGATTTTTGTTGCGAAGAGCGTTTCGCTCAGTACGATTCATATACATAATGATGAATCGAAATTAATAGTTTAATATCAAAGTATGAGACAAATAGAAACTGCGAATTTGAGAAATAATGTTATTTTGTGTATTGCTGTAAGTGTTATGAATTTATAAGGGCGTTCTTTTTAAGTGCGAACAGAGAATCTTTCCGAGTTAAGATAACAAAATTAGTTTTCAATAATTATGCTGAGAGTTTTGCTCAGTTAAAATTTTCGACTTATTTTAATTTTGTTATATGCGCTAATTAACTCGATTCATTAGTAAAATCAAAAAATGAATAAATCTCATTTCTTACACAGCAGTTGCTTATACCCAAACTTAAATGCTCTAATATAATTATTTATAATAAATTTCATATTACCATAAAATATTCTTTTCTTATAACTATTTCTAAAAAATTTAAATGAAATTGAAAGTCTTTTAAATACGCAAATCGAAAACAAAAAGAACAAAAATGGAAGACCTACATACATACTTATGTTATCGCTTTAAAAGAATTAAAATAATTTTTTTTCTTATTATTTTTTTTTTATATATTTCTCACATCCAAAAAGAGGAAAGATGCTATTTTTTTTTTTATTTTTTTTTATCTTCTTTATTTAATTTTTTCTTGCTATTAGTTATTTATTCTTTTTGTTTTTTTTTTTGAATATATATGGCAAGGCCATTCTAACAGGTAGTTTTAACGGTAAATCTTTGAAATTGAAAAGAAGAAGCAAAAAAAAAAAAATTATCACATATCTTAATTTAAAGATCAGGTAATACAAAATTAATATACATATATGTATATGGATGTTTGTACATATGTTGTGTACAAATATATTCTATATAGGTATTAAAAATTAATAATATAGGAACTACAAAGTATTAATCAGCTATATATTATTATTTGAAATTTCTAAATATAAATTAAATTTAATATAGATGGGACAAAAACAAAAAAAATTTAATTAATTAAATATTAATGCAAAATGGCAAAAATTTTCATGCGGAATTAAAATATAAAATTAAATACATCTATACACGAGTATTTAAATAAGATTATATTATTTTAAAAGGAAAATTTTCACAAACAAAAAAAATATTAAATAATCATACTAGGAAATAAACAAAAAAATATAAAATATATTTTATAATTTATATATGTATTAATAAATGTACACCTGACATTTTTTAAAAAATAAAATAAAATATTTTTAATTCTCCATATTTCAAAAATAAATTTTAGTGTTTTGTCATTTTATATAAATTAAATAGGAAGTAAGAATTTTAAAAAAATGTTTTTATAATTTATCAAGTTATTCTATATACACATATACATACATACTTATTGTTATTCTGTTATATTTTCTATTTTAAAAACAAAAACAAAATGAAATGAGCACAGATAATAATTTTAAGAAAACAAAACAAACAATAATTAAAAAATCTAACACACGCCTATAAATAACAAATTATAAAATAATATAATATTAATTTTATATTAAATTTAATAATACAACACTTAAAACTAAAATTTATATTGTTAATATAATAGCAATATGAATTTATTCACAATTAAACAAAAATAATATTCACAATATAATGTTTAAGTATTATAGAAATTAAACAATATTTTTTTTGACACTTATTTTGAATGATCCATATTCGGAAATTTGAAAATCGAATAAATATTCAATGAAAATGCAAATGGCTAGAATTTTTTGACTAAAAATATTCAATAAATACGCAAATGACTAAATAAAATTCATTAGAGTTGTAAATATTGTAAATGAATTTAATTTTTGTAATAATATTCTTAAACTGTTAAATGTCATAATATTGCCATGTAAAATAACTGAAAGCGAGTATAATAATCAGTTGTTATGGTAATGTCATTGTCATCTGAGTTATTTAAATTATATATATTAGGAGAAAAATAAGATGACAGTAAATTGAAATTATATCATGTACTTAAATTTCGATTTTAATTACACAAATCTAATTTTAATTTATACAATTAATTTATATTCAAACGAAATTAATACTCCCTATTAAATATAAATGAATGTAATTAAAAATTTTTGAATTAAAATAAGTACTATACTGTCATTATAATGTCAAAATTAAAGAGAGAGAGAGAGAGACAAAAAAAAAACTATAATACTTAAAAATTAAAAACATATAAGAGTTTAGCTGTCAAAACAATTGTAATATTAATAAATTTCTAATACCATAAATATATTTTTAACTCAAATTTAAATGCATATTAAGAGAGACAGAACAGATTATTTAAAAAAAGAAAGAGAGCAAAATATAAATTTTAAATGTTTTGCTTTAATATTTTTTTTTTAGTTGTTTTTTTTCTTTATTTAAATTTAAATTTTTTTTTTTTAATTTATTATTGGCATTTTAAATATTTTTTTTTTTTTGTTTTTTAATATTTACTTTTTTCCACCTACATATTTATTATTTTTTTTTTCTTAGAAAAAATTTTTTGTACAGTTTTTACTATTTTCAAAATTTTTATTATTATTTTTGGTTTTTTTTTAAATTTAAAATTTTTTATTATTTTTTTTTTAATTTTTATTGTAATATTGAATTTTTTTTTTTAAATTTTGTAAAGTACGCATATATAAAACTAAATATAATAATAAAAAATAGTTAAAGAAAAATCAATACAAACAAAAAGAAAAAAAAAATTTCTCCAAAAAAAAAAATGTTTTCTGTTTATCTTAATTGCAGATTGAAAATAAATACAAAATCTCAACTACAAGTATAAATAACATTTATCGAACAAATAGAAAAGGGTAAGTAACATAATTAACATTTTAACACAATTTACACATTTTAAACATACAAACACAATATTATAAATATTAAAATATTAATTCACAATAATTAGCACATAGAGCAAGAGGTATTTTATCTTATACTTAAAGTTCTATATATAGTATTTCACTTAAGTTAAATGCGAAATATTAATTAAATTAAAAAAAATTGATAATTTATAAAATTGCAATAATGTTATAATAATCATTAATAATTATTGTAATAAAAAAGCTTTTATTATAATTTTTTTATAATTAAGGTGATAAATATAATATTAAAATATTTTATTAATTGAATGGAAAATTTGAAATTGTAAAACAAATTTAAATTCGATTGAAATATTTAAATAAGTTTTTGAAAACAATACGAACAGATAACAGAATGGAACCGATTATTCTTAAAAAATTTCAGTAAAAAAAGAAAAGTGTTTGATTTTTACATTTTTTTCAGAAACTACAATGCCAATCACATAATTTTCTCCAGTATTTTATTTCATATGTTAACAGTTTTCCGTTAAAATCATGCTTTAAAATTCTCAAAATGAAATTTCTTCGTAATTTAAAAATTTCAATTCAAATTATTTGATTCTGTCCCGAAAAAAATTTTAAAAATGAAATTATTAAATTTCAAAATTAATCAAATTTTGTTTGCAATTCATGTAATCTCATTTGTAATTTTCAAATTTCAAAACTTATCTAAATTATTAAAATCTTATATTACAATATTGAGCGAGCAATATGAGTAGGTTAATCATGTATCGAATTGCTGATATTTCCAAATAAATTAATAATATAATAAAACTCTATAGCATAATTTTCAACCCTCACAATAATAAGAAAATAATTTTAGTCCATGTAACAAATTTATAGTATATCAATTTCAGCAATTCTTAACAACTGTATAGAGCACCTGTTGACAAAAACAAATAAAAATAATTTATTAGAACGTTTTAACAAAAAAAGGAATAACCAAAAATCATATATTTATTTTTTTAAATAAGGTCAATTTTAACGATATTATTAACCATAGAGAAAAAAATATACTAATAACCTTTAAACCGGATCTAAATCCCATACTATATTAGAGAAAATATATTTGATATTAAAACAAAAAAAAACAATATATTGTATAGTATAGATCATCTTTAAAGACAAAAAAAAATAAAAACTAAATTTTTTTTAACGATTTTATAAATTTAATTAACTGTAATTTTAAAATTTAACAATAATACATTCACATATTTGGCAATAAAGTGATTAAATTTACTCCTTCTGATGACAACTTAACAAAAATATTTACACAAAAAAAAAAATAAATAAATAAATAAAACTATTATTTTAAATAAAACCCCAAATTTAGATAAAAGATAACATTCTAGATAAATTTATAGTCAAAACTGTATAGTACATAAAAAATTTAGTCACCTCTTTCCAAAAATCTAAAATCTCTTTTAGAGATTTACCTCATTGTGTGAGATCAAATACTATATTGTAAAATTCAGTTTAAATTATTTCATATATGCTGAATACTGCAACAACTACAAGACTCACTATTGCATCGATTTAAATTATAAATTCGGCGATAATTAAAATATGATAACTTTAGCAATACGGTGCTTTTACACAGCTCAAGCTTCGTGTATGTAGTTTCTGAATTGTGTAGTAATGCAATTAAAATTAGTAATATTGCAATTTTGAAGTCGTGATATATGGCTGCCTAAATGTGCATTTGCAATTTTGAGATCATTATGTGTGGTCTCTTGAATGTGCATATAGAACGAATCTTGTAAATAAATCAGAATTTAACATTATTGAGTAAAAATTATCTTTGTTCTCTAATATTTTCTACAAAATGAATTTAATTTTTGAATTACTAATTAGGGTATGTCCTAAACATATACTCAAATGAAAAATACTAGTTATATGTCCGAAATCATCAGTTAGCAGCGGTACTTTTACAAAAAATTTTATTTAAATTGGAGAAATGTAATAAGGAAAGTCACAAAACCTTACCAGGTTTCTAAACCCACAATAGAATTTTGTTAGTTTATTTTTTTTATGAGGTCTATTTCAAATTTTAGGCTGCCCAAATATGCTATTGAAATTAAGAGTGAAAAAAAAATTTATTTATGTGATTTTGTGTTTTTTTTTAAACAAGGTCATTCGTTTATAGATACATATATATACTTGTATACGTATATATGTTTGTATTTGCATAATATTTATTTTTTTTTTTTCTAAAATTTATCTAAAATTTAGATTTGTCTTTTTAATTTAATTCAAAACTAATAAATTAATTTGAAAGGTTCTAATAAAATCGTACATATATGTATACATACATACATACTTACATATAACATCATCTTTATTTTTTTCCACTACTAAAACTAATTTAAATATCAATAAGAAAAATAAAAACATAAAAGAATAACAGTTAATAATATTGGTTGTCTCTGTGTATATGCTTGCTTTATATAGTTTGTGTTTTAATATAAGCGTTTCTAATATAACAAATTAAATGGATTGAAAAAGTATATAAAATAAAAAAAAAACAAAAGGTATATAATTTTTATTTATTCCGTTAAGAATTTTTTTACTAAACAAAATGAAAATAACAACAATGACTAACATTTTTTTTAACGCAAGCAAAATGGTCATTACAACCAACTACCTACTTTAAGTAGTAGATAGAACAGTATAGAAGTATAAAAACAGTGTAGAACAATAAAAAAAAAACTTAAATAATATGGCGGTGTTTTACTAACAAATATGGCGGTTTAATTTCTGTAAAAAAAAATTTTTTTATCGTATGTTATGTAATATATAATAGTTATGTAAAAAAAATTCAATTCTGTTTTTAAATTTTTTCTTATTGAATATAACATTCTTGTATATTATAGTACTGTAATATTATTGTATCACGTTAAAAACGGAAAATAATGATTTTAATACATATTAAAATAACATTAATTCATGTTGCTATATAACATAGAATCTGTTATAATTAATTATTGTAATGTTACTTAATTATTTAATAGAAAATATGAACCTAGGTACCGAAACGAAATTGCCCTTTTTAACTAAACAAAACCAAATATAATTTTTTTTTTTTGTTCTAATAGCTCGCAATTTAATGTTCAAATGATATAATTTAAAATAACTGTTATGCCAAGAGAAAGACATATGTATAAATCAAATAATTTGTATAACAGTTACCTTCTTAATCTGAAATATTTCTTTATTTGTATAACAATTGACAATTAAAACTCATATATCAATAACTTTTAGGTGAAGCCCTCCAATATAAGAAAAATTTTAAAATATTTTGGAAAATAGAGTATCTTTATTATATATTAGAGTCTACATATTTGCAATGGGCAACATAGTGAATTAATATTTTGGGATTTTTTCTAAATTATTTCTAAATTTTTAAAATGTGAAATAGTCGTCTCCAAAAGCCCACGATATTTTAAATTAATGAAATTAAATAAAATTCATTCTAAAACAAATTGTTAAACTAGCTGATTTATGTTATATTTATTTAAGACTGTAATAGGACAAATGAACTAAAGATTTCCAAACAAATTCATTAACGAATTGTTTTATAGTCTTATAACAAATCTGTCTGCTTAAATCTTCGAAAATAAATTTACAATAATAAGAGAAACAAATAAAAATCGAGCGAAAATTTGTTTTTCAGTAAAAATTTATATAATTAGGCCTAATAATTCGAATTTAAATTTAACAAATAAAGAAATGAATTTAATTTTATTTAATGTTTCCCTTTGCAGTCTTTTTATCTTCTTATTGAGTGTTTTTGTTAACCCATTTGTTCTAATATAGATCAAATAGAGCTATGAGTTGAAAGAAATATTCTATTCTCTCCATTATTAGAGAAAAAATTTTTTTAAACTCATAATATTCCTTATAGCATATGAAAATGTATGTATGTACATATCAATTGCCGCAATGAAATTTTATAAATTTTTAATATTAAAATATACTCTTATTGTACTTGATTAAATATTCGCAATTAAATTTTAATTTATTATCAATTAACTTATTCAATTTTGTATTATTAAAATTTTTTTTTGTATAATTTACAGGATTACAGCGAAAATTGATGATGATATGCTATCGTACTATTGTAATGAAGATATATTTTTATTAGAAGTTCAACAAATTGAAGAAGATCTTTATGATATTACGTTAACAGAGCTTCCAAATCATTAATGTTAATATTTTTAAAATTTTTTTCTACTATAAATACATAAATATACAAACCTTAAAATACTTCTAATACTTATATACATAATAAATAAGAAAATAATAAAAAAATATAAAATTTGCCATGACTTTAATAAAAATAAGGAAAAAAGAAATACAACAAATTGCACAAATTAAATTTACAAGAGAGAAAAAAAATTTTTTTACAAAAAAAAAAATATATTAATTGTTAATTTTAAATATTTACTCACAAATTATATATATTTTCATATATATATATATATATATATATATATATATATACATAATATATACACAAATTAAATAATAGAAATAGTTACAATAGAAAAAAATTCTTATGAACAATATAAAATTATTATAACAACAATAATAATAATTAAATACAATAATTATCGTAATTATTTTGTGAAGTAATTTATACATCATCAAACAGTATAACAGGAAAAAGATGGAGAGAGCATACACAAATCTCCAGAGTAACATTTGTATATGTAATAAATTTGACATTATTATGGAAAGGACAAACAACAGGTTATTGTAGCAAATAATGTTAAAAGCAAAAACTCTACTACACTGACAATTTTAAGTAAACAAATTCATAACATGTCACAATAATAATTACAGTTAACAGGACTTAAAGAAGACAACGAGTAAAAAAAGAAAAAAAAGAAACAAACAATTTATTTTTTTTTTATAATTTTAATTTTAGAATTTAATCGTTATATGTGTAAACTTATTACTTGATATACACAATTAAATAATATTTGAGTTAATATTCAAATAGATTATACAGAGATTTATATTTCATATATCTTATAATATATTGTTAACATTTTCAACTGTTTATAATATAATTTAGAGATTTTCTATACAACGAACATATTATTGAAAATAAAATTGAAAATAAAATATTAAAAAATGACAATAAAAAAAAAAACAAAATAGTATAAAATTATATTACATATACATAAATATATGTATAACAGTTTCAATAGAAATCAAAATTTTTTTAAATGAAATCATGAAATAATTAAATATTTTAGAACTGCATTTAATCTTAAAAAAAAATTTTTTTATTATTATTATATATTTTATACAAATAACAACTCAAACTTTTATAATAACTTTTATTGACAGAAAAGAATTTCTCTTTAGTAAAAATTTAACAAAAACACAAACACAAACAAATTTATGTATAATAAAAATAATAATATATTATGTTCAAATTGTTCAATTATTTTTCAAATAAAATTAATTATTAAGTCTTAAATTTTAAAATAAAACAAAAAAAAAATGCATACTTTTAGGATCTAGTTTATAAAAAAACAAAATAAAGAGATTTTTTCTATTTTAATTTTTAGACATTAAATTTGAAATTTATATTAAAATAATTTATACATAGACTATAATAAAAAAATTTAGAAAAAAAAAAAACAAACAAAAAAACACAAAAAATTCTAGTTGAATTAAAGAAAATTAAAAAAAAATGAGATTTGAGATTTTTCGACTCAAAATTATTATTGATGTTTTTTTTTTTGATTATAAAAAAAAATTAAGATAAAATTAAAAAATAAATAAAGTAAAAGAAAAAATATTTTGAATATTTTTTTTACTTTCATTTGTTTTGTTTTTTTTTTTTTTAAATACTTGATGATGTGAAATGTTAAACAAAAAATTGTAATTTTTAATAGAAAATTCTTTATCTTTTAAAAAAAATATTTTTATATTTTATTATTATATTTTAAATTTATTTGGAAAGGAAATTATAAAATGAAAAACAAAAACGAATAAGATTTTGAAACAAAAAATAAATATTAAAAATTAAATTTAAATTAACAAAAAATTAAAAAAAGGAAAAACAATTAAGGCGAAATATTTTTTTTAATTATAAAACAAAAAATTATTGAATATTACATAAAATATTATTACAATTAATTGTATAAGACAAAACAAACAAAAAAAAAAAACAAAAAAACGTAAATTTAATTAATTAATTATTTTTTATTTTAATTTTAAAACACAAAATAAAAATTAATTTTAATTTTATTATTATTATTTTTTTTTAAATTTTGTTTAAATTTAAGAATTAAGAAAAATAAACAAAAAAAAAATATTAATTTAAGTGTTTTTTTTTTTCTCATATTTTTATATAATTAATTAATTTTAAATTTTAATTATTAATTATTTTATTTTTAACAAAAAATAGCGGAAAAAAACTAAAAAAAAAAAAACAAAAAATTAAAAATTTGAGAATGAATGTTGTTTTAGTTATTATTTTTATTATTATTATTTTTTTTTTTTGATTTTATTTTATTTTTCTTTAATTTTTTTGAATTTTAATTTTTTTAATTAATTTTAAGTAAACGAACAAAAAAAAATAAATAAAATAAAACAAATATTTCTCTTTCCTTTTCTCACTATCTTTTACAAATATTTCTATTTTTATTTTTTTTTTAAATATTATTATAGTAATTGAAAAAGAAAAAAATTTATAATAAATAATAATAAATTGATTAATTAATTAGAAAATAATTTCTGGTTCATTATTTTTTAAAATAAAACAGAAAAAAACAACAACTACAAATGAAATGACAGCTGCAACTATAAAAAAAATTTAATTAAAAGTAAAATTAGAGCAAAAAATTAAGCAACAAACAATATTAGTACTCTTTTTTTTTTTTCTCCATTAAAATTACAAATAAATATTAAAATAAAAGAGAATTAAATTACATTTACATATTATATTTTTTTTATCAAATAATTATTGTATAATAAGTGTATGTAGCAGTTTTTTTTTTATTGTTCAAAAAATTTTAAATAAAACAAAGAGAAAGAGAATAAAACAATAAGAACAACGTAAAATATAAAATTTAATTGAAGTCATACTCATCTTAATATTCTCCTCTTTTCTTTTTTTTTCCTAAAATTTCTGATATATTCTCTCTATACAATACACAATACATACCAGATTACCAGCTACTTACTCACTAAGTTTTTTTTTTTTAGAAATCTCTTTTAATATTATAACATAACATTTAAAATCAATTTCCGCTCTCTCCAATTGCATATTAGTATTTTCTTTTATTATCTCTTCAAGAATCAAGTTTTTTCAAATGTTGTAATAAAATAAAAAATTCATCCAATCATACATATGCACATTTAAACAAGAGAAACACAAAAAAAAACTAAAGGGAATTCTAAATAATAAAAATAATTAAAAAAAAAATAGTATAAAACAAAATAATAAAATAATTAAAATTTATATAAATTAAATTTACTTTGTTTTTTAAAATAAAAAAAAAATTAAATATTAATATTTTTAAATTGAGATTTGCCATATTATTGAAATAAAATGCATTGAAGAAGGTATATAAAAACAAACAAACAAAAAAAAGATAAATTAAAATAAGCAAAAAACGAATTAATTTTAAAATTAAAAATATTATTATTAATTAATTAAATAATATGTAAATTAAGTTACAAAATTTAAAAAAAAAAATGTAAACAGAACAATTACTCAAAAAAAACAAAAAAATTAATTAAAAAGCCTTAATGATTCTATGTTATAGAAAAAAAAAAAATATTAAAAATTTTGCAAATTCCATTGCCAAGTACAAAATTATTTTTGGAATTTTTATATTTATATATGTATATATATATATATATAATCATTAAGGTTTAAGAGTTATAAAAGATGAAATAAAAAAATAAATTTAAAATTCAAACATGTTAAATTGGCATTTTTTTCTCGTTTTTTTTAAATAATTCAAGAAAATTTCTTTAAATACAATATTATGAAAATAATATTTGAGATCCAACTCAAAAATATTTTTAAATCTTCTTAATGGTGTTTTTTATTCGGTACAATATTGAACTAAAAATTTGATTGTTATTTATTTCGATTTAATTTAAATGCCAATATATATATATAGATTTTTTTTAAGAGTATGTAATAATAATTTTTATAAAAATAAATAATTAATACTTATAATCTTAATCTTGTGTATTTTTGTAAAATATTAAAAAAAAATTCGAAAATTCTTATTAAAATACAAAAAATATATTTTATTAGAAAGGAAACAACAAAAAAAAAACAACTCATATTAATTAATTTTATTTTATTAAATAAAAAACAAAAATACTCTCTTTTTTTTTTAAAAACATTTTTATCAATTAAAACTATAATTAAAAAAAATCAAATTATCAAAAAAAAAGGAAAGCAAAGTAAAAAGCAAAATTGTTGCGGCGATATTTTTTAATTTTCAAAAAAAAAAAAAATTAATCTAAACATTTTAAAAAATGCGCGCGCCATATTCATTTAAAAATAATCAAAAATAAAAAAAAAATACTTAAATAAAAAAAAAAGATCTCATTTGTACTTAAAAAAAAAAAAAAAAATTAATTTAAATTATCTTTTATTTTCTAAAATAATTTCCTTTTCGAAATTACCATTCCCGCACAATCTACAATATTATTAATTAATATTCCGTGCACAGATTAACATTAATGATTATTGTAAACTACTTATTTAGGGTATTATTCAAATCGAAAATTATTGAAAATATTGTTAAAGTCTTGGGGTTTTCTTATTAATATAGTCTATTATTAGCGTTCGAAATGTTAACAATAATATTATTAAATTCATTTTAAAAGTTAAAATATGTTCATCTCTCTTTCAAATCTCTAGATTCTAAATTAATCAAATGTGAAGTTAATTACAATAATTTTTCATTTAACATGAAAATTTTTAGAAAAATCAAAATTTAATTAAAATTTTTTGAATCCAATATTCGGATTTGATTTTCTTTTAATATCGTGCTATAAATCCGGCCTTATTTGTTTTTCAAGTACAAAATATTTTTGTACTTTTGTACTTTGCGCAGCAATAAATTCTAAACTGAGTTATTTCGTGTGTTTATTTAACAAATTGCAAAACTAGTACTGCAGTATCAAACACATTTCTTTGACAGCACGTGCAGTACTTAATTTTCAAACAAAGAATACATTTAGTTCTAAGTTAGAACTGAATTTTTCAAAAACGTAGGATTATTTCAAAGATTTGCAATCAATATAGAAAATACAAGGAAAACAAACCTTATTTAAGAACAGTGTTTATCAAATTATGCAAATTTTATTAATTAAATCTTAAAATTATCAAAAAATTTCCATTTATTTTATAATTTTACAAAACATTATGCTGTACATTGTTTTTGTTTTAACAATATTTTTAATAAAATTTTCAAAA